ATTTAAAAACGAAACAAATCTTATGGAATACGCTATAGTCGCTTTTAATAGTTTCATACGTTCAGAAACTAAATTTACGCCTTGTGAACTAATATTAGGGCATACAGCATCTCGAGACTTCCAAGAATTACTAAATAATGCGTTCTATTCTGAATACGTTAATAATCATAAAACTAAACTGCAATCTGTATACCAAAAGGTTACCGAAAATTAAGAAGGACAAAAGTAAAAGTTTTGAAACGTCCCAATACTAAAGGACCAGAACAATTCCAGTCTAAAATAGGGCAAAAGGTTTAATAAAGTAAAGTAAAAATAAAAAGTAATAAAAATAAAACGGAAATAATACATATAAAGGAACTAAGGAAACATGTTTCTGTTACAGATTTCTCCTTTTCTACTGCGGATTGATGGCAGAACAAAGATACCCAAAATTTCATAAGATTGAGAATAATCCAGGATTATTCCCCTTTAAGTTAGGTAATGCACAAAACCAAATTGACCACCGGACATTTGTTCAAATTTTCTATATAACAAATCTAATTAAAGAATATCATCATATATCTAAATCAGCGAAAAAATTAAGAGAAGCTTTCGAAAAGCATAATAATAGTGCTGGCTTTAAAATAGAATTTTATAATTCATATAATTTAATAACTATATTGGAAAATAAAATTAAACTTGGAATCTCACAAATAAATCCTCAATATACTATAGAACAACGTAGAGAAAAACATGAAATTATAAATGGTCTAGGTTCTATTATTAAAAAAAAAAAAGAACTAAAAGTTCAGATTTTTACGAAATTATATATTATGACATGACAATTGTTTCGACAACACCGTGTCTTTATCAAATGTCGTCGAAACAATTGTCATGTCATAATATATAATTTCGTAAAAATCTGAACTTTTAGTTCTTATTTATTTTGATAAATGGATTTTCATCAAGTAAATGCCACCTCAGTTCAATCTATTATTAAAGTTATAATTGGCAACCTAGATAACGACGATGCCGAACGTTATGATAAAGCTATTGAAACGCTGTCATTTAATCAAAATAAAATTAAATCTTTAATCATCAATCAGATTTCGATTCTAGATGATTCGATTAATAGATTTAACAAAACAATCAGTTCATTGACACATAATCAAATTATGCTAGAAAGTAAATTACTACTAATAGAAGATAGTATTAAGAAAACAGATATCCATAACATTGATACTTTTAACTTTTTGATTATAGAAATGGTAATTTCGCAAATTGTGACGCAATATCAAACTATTCTGCAAATTTTGGAAAACTTAGAAACATCAATAACATTCTCTAAACTAGGTACATTGCATAATCCTTTAATTGAACCACACGACTTGATAGATGAAATGAAAATAATCGAAAAGACTTTAACTAAAAATAATAAATTGCCATTTGAATCTAAATTTGAGAATATACTTATTTTTGAAAAAATCAGTAATATAAAAGGCTATTTAAAACTGAATAAAGTAACCTTTATTATTGAAATCCCGTTAACAGAAAACGAAAACTACAAATACTTTCAATTAATCCACTTGCCTATAAAAACAGATTCCTATAAAGCAATCCTTCCAATGGCCCGATTCCTAGTGACAAGTGAAAATAAATAAATCTTAACGAACATACCCTGTAAAGAAATTAGTGAAGGAGAATTTATTTGTAATAATGGTAATCCAACACAGATTGATAAGTTATCACCTTGTGAAGTTCGGCTTCTCCAATTTAATCAAAATGTATCAAACTGTAAACTTTTCCCAGTGATAATGTCGGAGTGCAAGATCCAAAAACTATCGACCAATAAATGTCTAATAGTGTCTCCGAAAAAAACTGTTAGCGTTCAAACGTGCGGTAAAGAACAAGAAAGTATTCCCCTAGAAGTTCCGTGTTTACTGGAATTGGTGCGTGAGTGCCAAATAAAGTTTGAATTAACTGTTATAAAAATCTATGAAGAATCGAAGATTAGACATAAAAATATTGAACTCCCGTCGATAAACTTTACAGCCCTAGAAATGGAAAGACCGACGTCGAAGATTGAACCACTCATCTTAGACGATATTCAGCTGGACGACCTGAACGCGATTCGAGCCACCCTTAGGTTATAGACTCAAGAGATCAAAGAGTTCACCAACCCTATTAAAATAAGAGATGTCAGCATCTGGACGATAATCCTTTATGTATTAATAATTGTATTTTGCTGTTATGTTAGTTACAGGGTTATTGTCTTTAAAAATAAGGTTCACACGAAGGTTAAAGATGAAGAATACCCGATGGACATGGTTCACCCCCTTCAGCAGGGATGCTCACACTTATGAGGGGAGGAGTTACATGCCAATAAACTGCTTACCCCAGTATAATTTAATCGCACAGTGTGCATTTATATAATGCTTTATTCCGTCTATGCAATTGTATGCAACTTAACGTTAAGATAATCTTGAGACGAGAGAATCAGTTCGGTTCTTAACTTCAGGCCGTCAACTCGCTTTTGTTGTTATAAATTGTTCCCGTTTTTAACGACAATAAAATTCTTTAAGCAAACTAAAGTTTTTTCAAAAAGTGTTTCTCTGACCAACACACGTAACTCGCGCAACCTCAATATGGTGCGCGGACAGCAATTTTCAACGTTAAATTAAAACTATTAACAATGCAACTACAGTTTCGGGAATCCGAACTTTTTTTTAGTAAATTTCCTCCTCTTTAAGGATCTTTTATTGAAAATCCAAAAAAAATATATTAGTTTATGAACTATAAACAAAAAATTAAACAATACTTTTTACCATCTTTAATTGTATATAACTTTTTAAATTTATAATTTACCAGTCCACTTTTTTCGCACAAGGATCTAGACATAGTTCCGAATCGAATGACCTATAAAACATAATTTTAGTAATAGTATGTTCAATTAACGTAATTTTACACTCTTGAACTTGACAACTAGTTTAAAGAGCAGTAAAACTAACTCAATCCGAATTGAAAATTAAAACCCTTAATGACTGCTCTATATTAGAGATATTAAGGGTTTCATAACAATATACGCTATAGGCATAGGTAACCCTTTGTGTAAGACCTAATTTTGGACACCCTGTATAAAAGTAGACAACAACAATAACAAAACGGGAACCTAGGCCTCTTTTTTAACATTTTGCCCAATATGGCTCGCCAACTTTCAGAAATTACAATAATTGGCATGTCCAAAATTGGTTAAGCCCGAGGTGCATTTTTTTCGTATGCTTAGAATGTCACACAGAATCTCAAAATGTCATAATAGAGGGGATGTCCATTCCAAATAAGTGGTTGAAACGGAATCTACAGGATGGAAAAGAAAATTGAAAGGCGTTTTTAAATTGCATCTCATAAACTTTTAATGAACGATTTTGGTGAAAACCCCTGTATATCTGGGGTATTAGTAATATAGAGTACAGTTCCTCTTTACTTCCATATAATTAATAACGTAAGCTTGAAAATAAGGTAAATTGTCTGGCTCCGATTTCAAGAAAACAAATTTCTGTTCTTACAACGTAATCGGAACATCTCGGAACCGTTGATTTCGAGTTTTAGACGTGTCCCTTTGTAATAGAGCACGTTCAGGAAACATCTTCGCTTTCTCCGGGTTTTAATCTTAAGCCCTCGGAGAACCGTCAAAATCAATATTACTCAGCGTTTTCCTTTTATTAACATGACAATTGTTGTAGGTGTTTAAACCACTTGTACCTGAACCAAAAAAACATGAAAAAAAATTACAGTTTTTTTTTCTAATTGATTATTTAATTTCAACTAAAACATTTTTATTACTAATTTTTTTTGTTTTTCCATCGATACCACAAAAATAATAGCCGTTCTATATGTAGGACGTCAGGAAAAAGGATCACAATATTAACATATTCTAATTAAACAAAAATGCTGTATAGTCTAATGTGTTTTAAAAACGTATGTGTTATTTTTATTATGTATGTGTTTTTTTTTAATTATCCGCACCCTTTTGAAAAAATTCTAGATTACTGACCTGTCAGATTTTGCAGCGAATATTGTTATCTCCATGACGACTCATCGCAGAGGTTCAATAATTTATTGTTTCTCACATTTATATTTGGACTCTTGTCCGCGGTGCCCTGGTCCATCCAAGTGTTCCCCTATCCATCACCTGGAGACGCGTTTTCTAAAAGGTTCTATGCTGTCTCCAGACATTGATTATACTGATTTTACTAATTACTAATATTCAGCTGAGATGTTCAATCTCAAAGGCTCATGGGTGGTGAATTCGGATTGGAAATTCTGATGGATTTCAATAACAATTGCAGTTTCATTGAAAAGAGCATTTATTGCGGAAGCATTTTCATGTGTATTGTGAGCACGTTGCACTTGATCTGAATCACATGTATTATACATTTTCGCTTTTCCCCTAGTCGTTTTGACCAGGTATAGTCAGGTAATTGTTTTTTTTCCGCATTCACTGGAAGTGGTAAAGAAGTGGGAACTTTTCTATTGAGATGCGGTTTTCACTCTATTCCGTGGTCTTTCTTTGACTATCAATTGACATAAAATTAATTTTTTAATTTGAAAATAGTAAATAAATCAGGGGATATTTTGATTTTCAATAAAAATTTCGAACTTTCGCTTGAAAACTGATATTTTGATTTTCAATAAAAATTTCGAACTTTCGCTTGAAAATCTATAATAGTGTAATAAATAATAATAATATTTTGAAATTTGAAACTTCATTTGTGTTTAAAAAAAGATCACTTTTTTGAAACTTTTTAATTTAAATTTTTGTATCTTTTTCGTACAAAAACATTTATAAAGAATTACTTTTTGTAGTGGATGTCTTATCCACCAGATCTGTGGACATACTGTAAACGAATTTATCTTCAAAAGCAAATCCTATATTGGTGGCGTGAATATCAATACCAACTCTTCTGTTATATCTATGCAATGTATTTTTTTACTTATGTACTACTAATAATTTTGCTTTCCAGAAAATCCACTTTCCTGCAGCTGCGACTCGCAAGAACTTTGGGAGTGGCTCCGAGATCACCAGAAATTAGTGGAACGCAGGAATACGTTAGAGCTAAAATGCGAACATCCACCAGAACTTCGTGGTAGAGTATTTTTGGATTTAGATCCGGAACAGTTCTGCGATCAACCCATGGTAATCAAGCTGGGAATTCAGGACATACAACCATTTTCAGTATTAGTGTCTTGGCAGAGCAGGAATCACTCAGGGTTGCATGGATATCAAGTGGCATATTATTCAACGGACGCCATTGAGGAGGTAAGATATTTGTTGTTTTCCCCATATTCTCATCTTGATTCATTCATGTCATCGAAGATGGTCCTTTTAACCGCGGTGGTACCAGAGCTTAGCAGAAATTGGTACATGCTTACACAATGTGGTCAACCAAAACTAGCTACACAACTAAAATAGCAATATTTCCAAAAATTGGTGCATGTTCCACGATCATATTAGGTACCCTTAAAATATTTGTAAGTCAAACAGCATACAAGGTCGGACAAAAAATACAAAAATCGCACAAGAGTAAAGTTCCCCTTATTCCAAAAATTAGGCAAATTGTTATTAAGAAAAGTTATGCCTTAATAACATATATTTTAATATAGATAGATATAATTTTAATATAAATACTGTCGCAAATTATTCAAAATCAAATCAATATAGCAGATTTTTGTCCCAATTCCATCTTAATTGTGAAATTAATTAAGATTTCTAATTGTTTAACGAAACACAAATTTGATGTCTGTTACAACAATATTTAATAAAAGTTTAAGATTTTATAAAAACTCTTTCTAAGTAACCAAAGCATTGCTAATTATACTAGGTATATTAAGAAATTGTCATTTAAATAGCTACTACAAAAAAAAAACTACTAATGAAGAGAAAGATGTTATCGCAGATAACCAAAAAAACTTACTAAAATAAATAATAATATTAATATTATGAATTAATCTTAACCAATTTATAACTAAACAATTTGACAAAGTACGAAAAGTAACAAATTATGAATAAAAACATAATTAGAAGGCAGAAAAAATAACATAATTAAGTGTGCCCACTTTCTCGTTCGATCGTACGATCATAAAGTCCGCGGTTGATATCAGTACATTTGGTGTGATATTTTAGCAATGAAGTCTTATTGAAGTTTCAAGATCTTAAAGATTATTAAATGGTCTACCCCTATAGAATATTCGTTTCAAATATTCACATAAAAAAATCTAATTGGGTGACTGGTTAACAGAAAGCCATCGTTGTTGCGAACCATTTGTTGCTAAATTCTCTATTTAACCATTCGGCAACAATTCTACGAAAATACGCAGGAAATCGGTCATGTAGATAGTTTACACTCTCTTCCAAACACAAATTGTTCAAACATTGCGATAATTCGTTTTCAAAAAAATGTCAGTCAAATTTTGGCGAATAGAAGGCGGCCCTATTAATTTGTTGTTAATAATAATAATACCGCCACACATTTGTTTCTTGCTATTATTGTTTTTATTGTTAATTCAGATTTTTGTCAGAACACCGCCTACATTAGTTGTGAACGTGGATTCATCTCTAAAAGAATGTATTTATGGAAATTATTTGAATCAGCTATTTGTCGTTGAATTCACATGCCCGAGTCATAACGCAAGTCATTTCATATCAATCATAAAATTTTGCTTTAAATGTGTGATATTTATTTTCTGAGAATCTTCTTAACAGAGCTTTTTTGATGTATTTGATCTTCTGGAGTTTTCAAAAATTACCTGACGTACGTTTAGTTACTTTTCTTAATTACATGCAGTTTGAAGACGTTAATACCTATTGTATATAAAGTCCAGTCAGAGCAGTTGTGCAGTTACGTCACGTATAGTGACGCAATCAAAAATGATACGTATACCTTAGCTAAAAAAATTTGATCTTGACTCGGCTTTTGATATGGATTTTGATATAGAAATGAGTAAAAATCCTTGTAACATTTGAATGGTACATTTGTTCATTTGGGTGTTATCCATTGAAGATATCTGCTGCTTCAGGCATTGGCTTATAATTATCTCCACATATTAAAATAAAATTTCCCCACGAACATCTCAAATGATTTTTAGATTAGAGATATTTAACTTTCCATTACAAAATACATCTCACCAAAACCTGACAAAGAAAATGTCATCGACAACGGACGCAGGAGGAATTCAGAAGATTTTTAAATGGTACTACTTGAAGTTGAAGTTTCTTTAAAAATTAGTTTGAATCGGTTTTACAATTTTGAATTTTCATTAAGTTATGAAATAACTACTACAAAATCTAAACACATCATATCACTTATCATAAACCTATTTGAAGTCATTTTGAGTTTTAAAATGAATTCTAAAATTGTGCAAGCTGAGATATGTCCGTCCACCTAAAGAAAAATTAAATTCAATTGAAACAAACACTTGGGTTGAATAGACATTTTGAGTAGGCGATGAGTATTGATTTAAAGCAGTGCGATTAAAAATCGAAAATCTGTTTACTGCCAATGCAAAATTTAATATCAAAAAAACAATATGATTCTATTCCTGATAAAACTATAAATAAAACGTATTTTCTTTTAGACAGTACTAGTGTTTTTGTGTGTGACTTACTTGAAGGGAGATTAATTATAATTTTCCAAGCTTGTCCGTAGATATAATTATTACATTGTAGTTTGAAGTTTGTAGTGAAACCCACTCGTCTGGATTCTAAAGAGATACACAATCTCTGCTAATAGATTAGGGTGGGATGGGTAATAATTAGATCTACGGACAAGCTCGGAAAATTATAATAAATCTTCCCTGAGGTAAGTTTTAGGTTTAATTTTCCTTCGTTTGTCCTTGATATAATTATTACATTGTAGATGTTTACAGTGACAAAAGATGATTTTCTCAAGAAAATATTTTATTATACTAACGCTTGCAAAAGACAAGATAGTAATAGCATTATTATTTATCAACGAAACCTACTTGCTCAACAACAAGAGGAAAAATCGATATCATAAACCTAACCATATCAAACGATAACTAATTATTCAAACTGCGCATTACTTAGGTAGTATGGATTCAATAATAGCCTTACCAAGAAGGTAGCGCGTTTGACGAAGGTGTATTTTTTTATCTGTTCTATACTCACTCCTGCTCTAAACGCACTAGAACTCGATGCATGTAGTGTACTATGTGCAGAAAAAATGGTTGTGTATACGCCCGCCTTACTCAAAGTGTTTTTGCTCCAACGACTTATAGTTTCTGCTGATGCGGGATAAATTGGATTTTTATACTAAGAAAAAGGTTTTACTCTTTACCACTGCGATAAGGTTCTGTGATTATAGTGTAGATCCCAATAGCGAACGCCAGACACAGTTGTGACTTATCTATAAAGTAAGGAAATATTAATAAGGTTTGATTTCTTCCTAGGGCAGTTGTTTTTATCCTATCTGTAGTATGTAAGGAAATGTAAATATAATTGCAGATTATATTCCAATACCTAATACCTACTCAAAAAACCCAATAATTTTTGAAACATGAGGAGTATTTCTTGAGGGTGCCCTCTTTTAGGAAAGCTATCAATACTTCGACGGCATCATTAGAAATTCCCCTTCTGAAGAAGGTCCTCCGGATAATTTCCCTGTCACCAGGGAAATTTCCTTGTGAAGCAGATGACTCCCTAAAAGGGAATAGAAATAAATTTTTCTGTTGTTGAAAAGTAAGAGGTGATGCAATTAACATTTTTTTAAACCGCGATTGGGTTAGCCAACGCGGAACAACTAAGATTCCCATTGCTGTATACTGTATAATTTTCTCTAATACTTTTGAAGTCATAGCAAAGGGAGGAAAAGAGTAGAAATAATATCTTGATCAGTCTGTAGTAAAAGTCTCAAGAAAATCGGATTTTGGATTTCCATATTCAATTTCTATTAAGTCCTGTAGCAAAAATATCCATTTCTGGGAAGCCAAAACGTTAAGTGATAATGATGAGTTGAATATTCCTTATCTATGGATAAATATCTTGATTACCTATCTGCATTGAAATTTGCCGCAGATGAGATATAACTGGCAAAGATTCCATACTCCATAATTCCTTTACAGTATTGGTCAATTAGGGATATTCAAGTAGGTGATTCGCAATTAATACTGTTTGGTTGTCTATTCTAAGTAAAATGCGAACATAGTGTAGATCTTGAGCAAATGACTTCAATATATAGAGTTCAGTTTTAATTTCTAAAAAATGTATGTGCATCTTAATCTCCTGACTGCTCCAAAACTCATGGCATCCATTAGATTCTCCGGAACAGGCGCCCCAGCACGTTTGCGAAGCATCCGAAAATATCTCGCACGAGAATGGTTTAGATTTTATATTTGTCCTAGCCCAACATTTTTTTTATCACCAATTTAATTCATCTCCAAAACTTTTTGGGATATATATTTTCAGTTTTGACAAGAATTTTATGGTTACTCCTCTGGAAAGTTGTGAAAGGCGTCCCTCTTGTGTGGAAAAGCTTATTTTCGGTAAAGATATATTTCTTTAGGTTCCTTTGCGGTACGGGTTCGAGGGCTGTAAGACGGTAGGTGGGAGCTTAAATAGCTCGACGATTGGCCTGAAGGCCCTTCACCACCGTAAGATGAAGGCATTCTTTTCTTCTTGAAGACGGAGCTTGATCTCTTAATAAATTGTTCATCTTTAACAGCCTCTACAAATTGTTATCCACCTTTTTACACTCCTGGTTTAGGTGGGGAATAATTTTACCCTTTGACAAATAGGCCTTCCACCCAACTACAATTTCTTCATGCGGGGCTTTCCCTCTGTTTTCTCAATATCTGGTTTTATGGCAAGACCGGTAATATTTTGTTCTGGAAAATCTGTATTTGGTAAAGTCCCTCGACTATTACAACTTGTGGCTCTATGGGTAGGGATTGAACTACTCTTGTTGAAGCATTCAGAATTTGTGATTCATTGTCCGAAAGATTTATAAAGAGGAAATGCGAGGAAAGGTACTGGAATATTTAGGCATTTTTCAACTTTAAATTTACTAGTACTAACTAGTGAGTTTCTTGTTAATTCTGAAATATTTTGTGCTGAAGAGTAGGTTTCAGGGAAATTACAATATAATAAACATATCAAAGACAAGCCAAGGACAATACCTACAATACACACCAAGCCATAACATTTGTAAGTGAAAGTTCGTATATTATTACATAGCAAAAATTTCTTTTTTTTTTATTAAAGTTATTAGGGATAGGTTTCGAAGTATTGTTGACTACCAAAAA